CCTGTCACCAACCATTAGTTTCCCCTTCTTGCGGTCTACATCTCTGCCAAATTTGGACGCTCCAGGACCAAAATCACTAATTTCGAGGAAGCCCCGCCCCCAGAGGGCGGAGCCTACACCTGTCACCCACCATTAGTTTCCCCTTCTTGCGGTCTACATCTCTGCCAAATTTGGACGCTCCAGGACCAAAATCACTAATTTCGAGGAAGCCCCGCCCCCAGTGGGCGGAGCCTAGTTTAGGTCACGTGTACCTAAGGTGCCCGGCTATTCCCCACTTGTTCCTACCTGTCTGAGCTGTTTCAGATGATTTTCAAACGGCATCCTAAAAGATAACTGGCTTTAGAATGGTACACAACTTGCAAACAATCTAGTAGCAAATAACTTCGCTGCGAGCATTTGAAAATTGGGCCTCAAAAAACGCAAGAACTTTCTTCACGACCTAATAAATGGCAGCACGTAGCAAGAACTCGATGCACTTTGTAAAGTTGCTCTTTTAAGTTTTGTATCGCGATGCATTTCCTCCTATCACCAGACAGCAATTGGAATATGTTGCTGCTAAAACGGAGAGGAAGTATGATTATCCAAGGGCTGTGGGCTTTATGGACGGTAAACATATAAATATTAAGGTAAGAAGCAGTTAGTTCTACAAGCGAATTCCGATAAAGTAGTAATAAATTGCAGAAACCTGCCCACTCTGGAGGGTCTTATTTCAACTACAAGGGCACCCATTCCATCATTCTACTCGCCCTAGTGGATTGCGACCACCGCATCCTCGCCTTTGATGTCGGGGCGCCAGGTCGCGTGGGGGATGCAGGTGTTTATAGGAGGTCGAACATTAAGGTAAAGAACGGGTAACAAAAATGTCTTCAAATAATAAATGCAACCATTCTAGAGACTGATCGACAACAACGATCATCTCTTCCCTCCCACGCGAGACCTGGGGAATGTTGGCCCAGTGCAGTTCCACATATTGGTCGACTGTGGTTTTGCGCAAGGGCACCGCTTCGTACGACCATACACACGTGCTAGGGCGGATACGCCTAGCAAAAGAAGATTCAATGCGAAGCACAGCGGGTGAAAGCTAGTTTTTCGTGTTGTTTCCTACAATTTAATTCTCTTTACAGTGCTCGACAAGTAGTTGAATCCACGTTTGGAATGTTGAGCAAGCGATTCGGACTCCTCCAGCACACCATACAGATGGAGCCATCACACACTGCTGACGTTGTGGCGTCACTGTTGGTAAGTAAAAATCCTCTTAAGAAGTCCCTATCTGCGATTTACCATATCCAATTCTTACAACAAGTGCTACATAATGTGATAATTGGATGGCGGATGGAAGGGAGAAAAGCGGACGGGCTACCAGCAGGGATTCGTCGACCGCTGGATCCGTTGGAAGACCGAGTGGAAGAAGAGGAAGAGGAAGTGCGACGCGCAGAACACGCACGAGAGTTAATAAGGGCTTACTACGACA